GGTCCCGACAGCTTCTTCGGCTATGAGCGACCTCCAATCGCAGTCGTTGCCTCGCGCTACCCATGCTTCTCCGGCCATGACACCCGCGGCGCCTTCGTCCGCCCAAGGCAGCAATCGATCGCCCATGTACCCGGATCTGCTCGGCGAACCGCCCGTCCCTCCGCCGAGAACCTCGTCGACCCATCGAAGTCACCAGAGTTCGAACGAGAAGGTGTCGAGCTCACGGCATGGAAAGAGCAGAGGTGACGACCGAAGCGCAAATCATCGCGAGAGGAGGAGGGATGACTCCCATTCCCGTCGGCAAACCACGAGAGCGCCCGAGGATTCCTCGAGGGGAGCTGATAACCGGAATCAACCCGCCGCGACGTTCGAGCCGTCGCAGCACTCGGAAGACCGCATGGAGGCATACCCGGGCCAGGGGACTTTGGTCAAGGAGTCGAGTACCGTGATCAACCAGGTGCTGGTGAGCGACCCTTCGGTGGACATTGAGCGAGAACAAGTCCGACAGACTGGCTCGTCGGTCTCTCCGCCCCCCGAGGCTGCTCCGCCCTCGGGAGGTCTAGCCCTGGTGGGGAGTGATGGTGTGGACGATGGAGGTCGCGGCGGGCTGCGCAGTCGACACGACTACACCGAAAATACGATCAAGCGCAAGGAAACGACTTTTGGTCAGTACATCTTGGGACAGACGCTCGGAGAGGGTGAATTCGGCAAAGTCAAGCTGGGGTGGAAGCGCGACGGTACCATTCAGGTGGCCATCAAGCTCATCCGAAGGGAGACGCTCGGATCGAATCCCAGCCGATTGCCCAAGATCTATCGGGAGATCTCCATTCTGCGCGACCTTGCGCACCCGAACATTGTTCGACTTCATGAAATGGTGGAGACAGACCGACACATCGGTATCATCATGGAGTACGCTTCCGGCGGTGAGCTCTTCGACCATATTCTGAACAATCGGTACCTCAAAGACAACGCCGCTCGGCGCCTCTTTGCGCAGTTGGTCTCTGGTGTCGGGTATCTTCACAAGAAGGGTATCGTACACCGTGATCTGAAGCTAGAGAATCTGCTTTTGGATCGGAACCGTAACATCATCATCACGGATTTCGGTTTCGCGAACACGTTTGACCCGGTCGATGAATTGGGCGAGGAGATTGAGTACAACCTGACGAACAAGGATTACGTGAAAAGGATGCGCCTCGATAAGACCAACAACAAGGGCCTGCGACGGGGTGACCTGATGCAAACCAGCTGCGGTAGTCCGTGCTATGCTGCTCCGGAGCTGGTTGTGAGTGATTCGCTGTACACGGGACGTAAAGTCGATGTTTGGAGTTGCGGTGTCATTCTAGTGAGTATCTCCCGGTGTTATAGAAACAAGGCAGAGAAGCACAAAACTAACGCACTCCCTCCTCCAGTATGCGATGCTGGCCGGCTATCTACCCTTCGATGACGATCCCGCGAACCCTGACGGTGACAACATCAACCTACTCTACAAATACATTGTCACCACTCCCCTGACTTTCCCCGAATATGTTACGCCCCATGCGCGCGATCTCTTGAGGCGGATCTTGGTTCCCGACCCACGGAAACGAGCGGACCTTTTCGAGGTTGCACGACACAGTTGGCTGAGCGAATACTCGCACATCGTGTCGCACATCACCAGTAGCACGACGAAAGTGGCCGATATCTCCAGCACGACGGTGCCCACCGACAATCGCAAAGAAGCGCCCACGCTGGCACGAAGTGCGTCCGTCAGAGAACCCCCCAAGACGTACCAAAACTCGATCCCTTCGTTGGGTGGACTGGTTCACCACGCCGGGGATATCTCCCAAGAACAGTCTACGGATAGGTCCAAGACTCCCCGGGATACGAAACGGCGAACGGTCCAGGTTGAATACGTGGCTCCTCAGTCTCAGACAACGAGAGGGGAGACAACCGGTGACGCCGAGGGGCCTGCCGCAAGCTCATCGCGAGCTGTGGAAACGGCGCCGGCTCGAGCCCGATCTAATAGCCGCGTGTCTGAGAACCACAGGCTTGTGCAGGAGGTGCCTGAGGCGCCGATCACCAAGCCGGCTGTTGAGACGACCCCGGCCCCGGGACACTTCCCTCGCTCGACGTCGGATTCGACAGCGCTTACCGGCGCAGGGACTATGCCTCCTCCACATGCCGCCCGACCCGCCACCGGTGCCTCCATGGCGTCCTTTAATACCGGCCGTTTGCCGTCGCGAGGCTCCTACGGGCAACCTGTGGCGCCAACGGTTGCGGCAACTAATGCCCAGGGCCGATTGGCGCAGCCCAAAAGCAAGCAGTACGTTATCTCTGCCCCTATTCCTCAGGATCCGTCACAGCCCAGCCCGACGTCAATCGGGCGCCCGAGCGCCCAGCAGCTACCGGCAAAATTCAACACGACGCCCCGGCAAGAGCCCCCCAAGGGTCACAAGCGATCGAACACGGTCTCGGGCATTGGCGAAAAGCTATTTGGACGGTCCGGGTCGATCTTCGGAGGCCGAGGGAGCCAAACAAACAGCTCTCGGCAAAAGAATGGCAAGCGGTACCCTCCGACCAGCATGCGCGATCCGTATGCGGGCGATGAGAGCCGGATGTCCGTGGACTCGCGGCGTTCGATTCAGTACGGATCCAATCGGAAAACGAGTGAGGCGGGCGGAGAAAGCAGACCTCGCCGGTTTTCCCTCTTGCCCGCGTCCTTCTCCCTGAAGGGCTTCTCTTCGTCGAGCCGGTCCCAAACGCCAGATGACGAGTTGCAAGCCGAGCGGATGCAACAGCAGAACTCGTCGACCGGAGCTATACGACCCCGTGCACGAGCTACCAGCTACGGCACCCAGGATGCGATCTCGACAATGCCCGAAGGGGGCCCTGCAGACGACGTCATTACGAACGAAGAACCGATCAACTACCAGGCTCGTATTGATCAGCAGTTTGCCGTGCTTCATGGCGCCCCGTCCGGATCGCACCAGGCGACGTCTTACAGCGCCTCGGCCGAGCAGGTCTATCCCAGTGAAAGCGACCATTACTATCGGAACCAGTATGCCAACCACTCGGCACCCAACTACTACGATGAGTACAACAATAGCCCGTACGATAATTCGTCCCGCCAGTCAGTGCAGGCTGGCCGGTCCGCACGCGGGCCAGGAGTGCTCCAAAAGAACCACCGAAAATTTGCAGACGCCTACGAATCCGAACGGGATCTGTCACACCACCCCGGCAGCTCTGGTGCGGCTCGCAAGGTCATGGACTTCTTCCGTCGACGAGCCAAGTCGAGAGCTGGAGATGACCGGTAGATTGGGTTAGACTCAATTTTTCAGTGTCATTTGGACGCGCCCCACCTTTATTTTCCGTTGACTTCCATTCACCCCCTATACTTCATTACTTTCTAAACTTTCTACCGACCGATTCAACCAGTCGAACGTTGTCTCTGTCTGGTGGATTGCCTTGCTCCCAATCGACCGCCTTCAGGAAGAAGCAACATAGACAAGCAGATCTGGTCTGATGGACTTCTGTACCTTTGTGCTTCGGATGTTTGAACAAATGGATATTTTTCCAGGGTTTTAGTGAAACCTGAATGAACAGAAATTCAGGCTCCATGGAACCGTCCGCACAACAAGGCTCGGCTTCCCTTGGATGAATCGAAGACACGTTTCGATTGGCGCTTTCACTGGAAGGAGGATTTTGAGTCCAATGGGACTCTGAGATTCCAACATTGAAAGAGCAAAAGAGGTTATTTGGATACCCCGTGATACCCACGCAGCTTTCGTACTCGCTCGCCCCTTTCTGTTGCTCGCAGCTTATCGGTTTGTCCTCTTATTTGTACCAGCAACTGTTTCTTCCCGCGTGCATATCCATATCTAGCATGGGTGTTTTTTCTCTTCTTCTTTTTTTCTATTTTCTATTGATTTTATTTTATTTCCTTTGTCAAGAATAAACCTTTATTTCCTTTGTTCAAATTTCGTATTCCTTTTTCTTCCTTTCTCCCTTGTCACTATATCATTGATTGTAAATTGATCCTGTCCATTGCCTTTTGACCCAGAGCAACCTTGTTCTCTTTTTGTTAACTTCCTTTTTCTCTTCCTACTGAAGCGTTGATTTTCCCTTCCTCGGAATGAAATTGCCTTTGACAATTCATCCGACAGGTTTATTGAGGGTAATTTAATATGTTTTATTGGTCACCGGACGTGTGCTCTGTGCTCTGGACTATTGTTCGTCTCTTTTCTCTAGGTATACCTGACTTGTTTTATTGGATCTATTTCGCAGCGATCATTGCATTGCATCGCATTGCTGCCTATGTTCTTTTCCAATCCTCGTCCCGTTTGGCATACAGCGGATCCAGCATTTGCATGTAGTTCTGTTTTATAATCAAAATCCTTCGAGAACCCGAGAGTCGGTGGGATCTGCTATCACTTTTTGGCTACTCCTTTCCTGTCACTGAACCAGCCACTGTTTTGTTCGGATTCCGTAGGTACAGTAGTTCTCTCTTAGCTGCAGGTAAGTGGAGAATGCGAATTCTAGCCACAGCTTTTGAAACGAGTCTCCGGCGGAGCACGGCGTACTAGTTGGTCAACGACTCCGTAGGTAAGGAGTAACTCAGGTTGACGCCGGAAAGGCCATGGAATTGCGTGGTCTTGGACTTGACTTTTGTGCCATTGCTGTCCTGGAGCTCAGTCAACAAGTGTTAGGCCCAACCATCTTGCTCGATCGACTCTCGATAGGATCAGTACGTTTCGATGGCATAGAGATGGGGTAGAGAGTAGCGAGACGCGTTCTCTTGACTCAGCCCTTGGAGTAAGTGATGCGAAGTCTACGGAGTAGTCCAGTTCTACTTAAACGGCATGTCCCGAAAGATGACACTCCGAACTATACCACAATATAAGGAATGGGTCACGTGTGAATAGATCATGATATGTCTAACTATAAGTTCTGCATTCATTCCATTTCCCCCCCTCAAGTTCCTTATCACCGGCCTGCGTGAAACCTCCCATTGAAAACACACCATGGCTGACGATCGACTCCAGCCCACTCCTTCCCAGCTAGAAACCGCGACAAATCAAGCTCGAACATATTGGCGGTGGCTCACGGAAAAGGCCATTACGTGCCTTCAGAATGGAACCGCTCTTGGACCCATCTTCCCCCGGGATATGCTCTGCAGAGTTCCCGCGATACCAGCAACGCAACTTTCCGTGTATGAAGTTGCTTGCTCCGATTCTCCCACGAAAGCGCTTCTGACGGGAGAATCATCGACAATGCGCGTGGCCGAAGCGGGACAATGCGATGTCGGCGAGGCGATGAAAGAGATCCGAGGGGCTCTGCTGATAGGGGTCCAGTCGTCGAGTGCTTGCACTTTGTCTGGAACGAGTTTTCGACCATGGCGAGCGACTGGGAGCGGGGATCAAAGACAGCCAAACTATATTGCGATACTGTCGCTTGCTTGGTCTTATATTCTTTGTACCCGTCTGGTTGAAACCCAGCAGCAGGACAGCGCTGAGGTCACTTACACGGACTCGACGGCGAGTTGGAATCGACCTGCTCCAACGGATCGGAATGCGCCACGGATCGAAATTGATATTGGCAGGGTAAACAGGCGTGTTGCTCGATGGTGGGCGGCTATCTTGGCTCCCAATCTGGGATGGAGGGCTATCGTCACTAATATGAAAAATGAGGTCTACCTCGCACCGTGGTCGATCTCTTTACAAGGGAAGCAAGAATTCAGGGTTGTATGGCAGGACGATGGACCCCTTGCGCAAAACTCTGCGACCTCTTTGCCTCCCACATCTCAGGATGCGTTGAAAGAAAATCCTCGCTGAATTCTGTGTGTTGCATGACCTGAGAGACCAATATTTTGCCGCTTTTGCTGCGACGTTAACATTCCCAACACATAATCACTACGGGGTGGCTATCGCACTGCCACCGCCCGCCACGGCTGAATATCGAGCGAGGCTTTCTTTAAACGAGCAGTCGATGAACGAGTATCTCGCTATTGGGGATAAACTGGCTCATTACATGGCTCTGAGCTGCAATCACAGCGTTGTCATGTCCAGTCTCTGCGGCTCATTCTGGGAGCCCGATATTCCATGCAACCTCGTCAGTGCGTGGCTGCATCCCGTTCTGGAAGAAATCCCAAGACACCCCGAGATAGCCGACGACCCCGTGCGATATGCTGAAATAGTTGCTCTTATGTGCGGAACGCGCCGCCCACGCCTTTCGGCTCTGTGGGTCGGAGCTGCCCTCAGTGGACTTGTGCCCAAGATCATTGCCGCCGTCCGGCGTGGAACACCTCCTCTTGACCCTAATGGTTTCTCATGGACAGGATCCCCGCAGTCTTTCATGGACCTTGCAGGTTCAGGACCCTACTTCCACAGGGAGGCTTCTGGGGACCAGTCTATAGAAAGAGCCGACGCCTGGAGACTCCTATATCTTCCTGTCCTAGAAGATGATGGCCTCTATTACAACAGTCTCCCGTTTTCACCATGGCAACCTGTCGGGAAAACCAGAGAACAAAACTGCGCGCTCCGGGTCCGAGCACATGAAACGTGTCCAAGACATCGTCTAGTGTATATCCACTGGACGTGGCAATTGCAGGACGGTTCAAAGCTAATCGACTCGGGTTTTCGATTGGACGATCACGAACCCCGTCAACTATTCTCTCGCGTGCAATCTCCTTCAGAAGCTAGCTTCGCATACCCCCGTATCCCTCTTTCGTCAACGCAAGGCGCGTCGCGCGAAGCATCGATGGAAATATTCCGATGGGTTCTGGCGAATCATGAAGGGAGGCCGCCTGAAGAACCAATATACGATGATGACTGGATAGCGGGATGCGATGACAGCGATCGGTATGGATCTGACCCGGGGATAAAAGATTGCCCCAATGATATAGTGATGGGGTTTCCGGAGGGTAACAGCAACAATCAGCAGATTTCCTCTTTACAGGAAGATCGGATACGGCGATGGGTGGAAGACATTTGAATCAGACCCCGACCCCAAACTGACAGACCTCGCGGCCATGATATAGTTATAGAAGACAGTGGGTATTCCACAATGAAGAACGACCACCGCGGGCAGCGTGAACCCCGGTGCGGACAGCGAAAACATTCACCAATGACTACTTGTAGATGTTTAGGTGGGTACACAGGTACGTAGGTATGTAGTTTGCCCGGTTGGAGATTGAGAGCCTGAAAAAAAATGTCGAAGAAGGAAGGAAGTGATACGTAGAGTTAGATATCTATATCAGTGGAAAGAATTTATTCATTTCATGCATGTGCCATATTGTGAGCCCTTGCTTTAGAGTGTGAATTGCATTTCTGTTGTGTTGGGTATTTATCTTTTGACACCAACGTTACCAAACTAGGCCCTACTAGAATGAATATGTCCTGATACTGAATGGTGAAAGGTTCATGAATAACTCGCTATGGTGGGTAGGTAGTAAACTATGTTTGTTGTGAAGCCTTGCATAGATAGAGATCGTCGAGCTGCGACAGGCGAACAGTACGAATAGAGTGTTTGGTTGATTTAGAGATTGAGAGATGGAAAGGAGAAATAGAAGGAAGAAAGAACCTGTGAACACATTCAAGACTTTTTCAATATCATTAACAAGCAGTAGTTGTCGTACCCTGTACCTAGGTACATAAATAAGATAATACAATAAAAGAATATACTAAGTAGCAATTAATCTAACCTCTCAACCCTTCCTCCATCCAAGAACCATCTCGAACAAGGCCCTAAAACAAAACCTTATTCAAATCCTTATTATTCTGCACCTTAATATTCCTCATAATCGCCACCGCAACGATAGCCAACCCCATAATGGCCGTGCCCGCAATCATCATATTCCGCTGCGCAAACGCATACGCATTCTGAATCGCGATTCTTGCCGGCGACCCAACCTCATACTTCAACTGCTCCTCCAGATCCTCATAGATCGTCTCCCACTTATCCTTGACGTTATCCGGAAGATACTCCCGCAGTTTCACAGGGAGGGTATTCGTCCAGATAGCACCGGAGATACTGCTGCCCACGGCGCCACCGATGTTACCGAACGTGCTCAGCAGCGCCAACATAGCAGCGTAGTCCTCATGCGACGACGCCGCAAGCACAGACACCTGCTCGATGAGGATGAGCGTACCCCCGCCCACAGCGAGGAAGATCTGACACATGCACATATACCCGACGTTATGGCCGGGGGCACGGAAATAGATCATCAACCCGCTGGCGAGAATGTACAGGGGCACAGCCAACCAGAGAAGCCATTTAAAGCGGCCGGTCCAGCGGATACAGAAGCCGCAGAGGATCAGCCAGATGGGGTCCATGAAGTCGAAGATGGCGGAGATGTAGCCGGCCTGGGTCAGGCTGGTGTTGTAGACGACTTGCAGGTAGGAGGTGAAGTAGCTGCCCCAGCAAGCGTAGGAGATCTGGTAGACGACGTCGATCAGGCAGGCGCCGATGACGGTGCGGTCGGTGAGCAGGTGGTAGGGGATGAAGGGCTTCGGGGCGAGGAAGCGTTCGTAGAAGCCGAAGGAGATGAGCACGCAGAAGCCGACGACCATCATGGCGATGATCTTGGGCGATTTCCATTGGTTTTCGGTGTTGCCGGCGATGTTGAAGGAGGTGAGGAAGAGGATTGTGCCGCCGATCATGAGGAAGATGCCGATGACTAGGATTGGGTGTGGTGAGTCAGTAAGGTGCGTGGGTTAGTATAAGCAGGAAGGATAGAGGGAGACTCACCGTCGAATTCGACCACGTAGAACCAAACGCTCTCATACCAGGTTCGGGTGCTGCGAGGCTTGTATTGCAGTCGACCCTCCTTGTCGGCCTTGCGCTTGGTCAATTGCCACACCGTGATCAAGGGCGCCGCGACCACGGGGAGAACAATGCAGATGGTTCCGTAGGCCCAACGCCAGTTCGTCTCGTGGAACTGGTTCGAGAGAGGCGAGCCGGAGAACGCAGTGATGATACCGGGCGAGGAGGTGACGGCAAACGCGATACCTCGATCGCGCAGCGAGGAAGTGTCCGAGGTCATCACGTCGATGCAGAAAATGGCACCTGTGAAACCGACAGTGTAGAATGCCTTTTATTGTGCCTGGATTAGCGATGCAAAGAACTAGAAGAAAGTCAGTCTGTCGGTAAACATACCTGGGCGGCACAGTATGTCGCAATGTTATTGCAGCCAGCCATCATGATCAAGCCCATAATGGCAATGACAAGCATGATGATGAACCCGGTGATACGATCCCACAAGTTCAGGACCTTGGCGATGGGCATCAAACACGCAGCGCCCATGACGCTGGTGATGACCGCGATCACGGAGAGCAGCGAGTGCTCCGAGAAATCACTAGTGATGTAGGCTCCCAGGTTGGCAGTCAAACTGCTATTGAGATAATTGATGAAATATACCAGCCACATGCTGTCTTCTCATTAGTCCGGGGGCCCGGATGAAGATATTTCATTCGGCTTTGCCTACCTCACATATGCAATAACCAGGTACGTCCGAGACCAGGTCTTCGTAACGGCCTCGGCAACTCGAACACCATCCTGCTGGTTTTCCTCCTCGGACAGCTCTGACTCTCGAGTTTGCTCTGGATCCAAGGAGACGGGCTCCTGAGTGACCTCGGCTGAGGGTTGAGGCTTGGTGGCGGACATGATGGGAGAGGATGCCATACTCCGTATAGTTGACAATAACCCTGCAAAACCAAGACCACCACGAGCCAAGAAAGAGGGAAAGGGCCATATTTAAACACGGGCCTCTGGGAATCATGGCCTACTCCATCCCTTGCGGTCCCACATAACGAGAGAGAATTTCCTGTACTAGAGCAAAGACCGAGTCCGGTCCCGCTCGCTATGTCTCCAAACACTTCCCGCCTAGACCTGGATGAGTTAGTGTGTCTTATTGCTGTTAACAAACCGAGCACCGACTCGTCCAATCCGAAAAGCCATTTGGTTAAATCCTTTTCCTCCTTGTGACCCGAGATCGGGGATTCCTGTGGGTTTGCGTGGCAAAGGAATACGGCCGAGTGCCTCTTTGAGAAGAGCACCGGGGCCAAGGGGCCAAAGTGCTTGATCTGATGCAAAGCAGGAAAAAAGAGAAAATAAGAAAAGGCTTCGGTGGACGCACTCGGATCTCGCCTTGGCCGGCGTTTTCCTGTCCCACGGATCTTATCTAATCGATCTCGAGGGGGCTCCACTCGGTGGTGGTTACTGGTAGCGGTAAAGACACGGTGGATTGCAATCTCCGAGCGTCGACCATGGTTGCCTGGCATGGGCGCACATTTCGCTCCGAGATAACTTCTAGTGCATTGATTGATAACTTTGCTTCTCCGAGTCATGCCCTCCGTCTCCGTTTGGGCCCACGTCGTGGGACAAGGCATGAGCATGAGGTTTGACATCTGATCTGATTGCTACTCACACTAGTTGACACTCGACCGATTACGTTTCCCATCCCATCAGGGTTAAACCCTCATTTAAGAAGAAATCATGGCGATGACTACAGATTCCCTCTTTCATCAGATTCGCAGTACAGTGCAGTGAAGTGCACACTGTATTGACTACGAGCCTGACCTCAACCTCGCTTAGAATTCGACTCTGGCCATGATGCCAACGACCGTTTCGCCTCCACCAAATTTCGGCCCCCAGTCCGGTCAAGAAAAGTCTGCGTTTTGGCCTTGGTAGCGCTGTTATTACGCGCCTTAAATCTCCACTCCTAGCTGTTTGCTCCCCGTCTAGACTTGCGCTCGGAATTCGCGGCATCCACGCATTATACGAGGTGTGGGGGATGCTAATTGAACTAGAGGTTAGAGCCAGTCGCCACAGGAGCTTGCTGCTCGGTCTTTCTTGCGCTCTTGGGCGAGACTGGCATGGTTCTTCGCAAGTTCTGCCGCGGTCAGACGAAAGGTGTTGATGCATCCTGCTAGTGGAGGCGTCTGCTTCGTTCTCTAACTATCTATGCTATATTTCCTTTCATCACTGCCCAGCCCAAAAGACTGTTGTTTAGTATGTGTACGTGGCTTCCGTCATTTCCCAATTCAAACAGCGAGGCCGGCACGCCGACCCCGGTGAGTTTCAGGTTCATAACCAGGTTGGATGCTCGCCGAGTGTCAGTAGCAGGCAGTGTAAGGAATCAAGTTTTACGTACGGAGTACCCAGATGCAAATTACGTTATTATGCCTATTTCCGAGGTGAAAAATCAGCCCTAGCCACACCTTTTCGGCAACAATCGCTCCATCGTAAATGGTCTAGCTTATTCCAGCACTTGAATCGGCAGAGCGATGTGGCGCTGATGGTAAGTTGTCCGGTAAATTCCGAAGATATCACGCGATGAACGCAGCCCTAACTATCTGGACGTTACTTTCTCTCCAACAGTGGCCAAGAGACTCGAGTCGGGCGATAGGGACGATCTGTAGGTAAATCTGTAGATCTGTAGATCTTCCCTACACGGTAGACAGTTCCGAGTTTTCATTATATTCCTCTTCGCTTTTGCTCAAGGGAAGTGTCAAGAGAAATTCTACACGATTCGCTAAGTTCTAGGCTATGACATTGGGAAACGAGACAAAAGAAAACATTGAGCGTTTTCTGGCTCTGAGCTTGTCTTGAATAGCGCGGGAGCTGCAAATGAATGTTTACCTCCATTTAACAAATGAAAGCCATAAATCTCTAAAAGTTCCTAATTGAGAGTAGACGAGGCGCAGGCAATCGTTTAACTACGCTGCACAGAGCAAGATCTCGATGCCTGGCGGCGTAGGCTGTTTATATTATACATTACCAAAATCCCTTCTAGTAGAAGAACACCTCGCCTTAGAACGGCTTTGTTATGACGAGACTTACAACCTGCTAATACACCGGCTTGTAGCATCATCTCTCCTTTAGAAAACGCTGTATCCTTCAAAGAAGCTTGGTCGGCAAACCGTGTCTCACACTTCCTCACACCCAATCAACCTACGCCAGGACGGCATAACCGTCCACAAAAGTCATTTCCAAGCATTCATTGTACATCTACGACCACGATTAATCAACCTCCCACAACAACACCGGACAACCAACTCTACATATTACTTCAACAACGGCCCGGTCAACACGTTTCAACACAGATCTACATGCGCGGGGACCAAAACATGGCCAAGCAGGACCGGCAAGTAGTCTTCACCGGTGGCATGCATATAAAGAAAGAAATAACCCACCAATAAATACCAAGTCGGAAGCAGTCCGATCGAGGATGTTAATATGCCGAGAGATGGACGGACGCGGGTTTGGCTTGTCCCGTCTCGGTCCGCTGGACCGAGCAGGAACTGTTTGTCTGTAGAGTGTCATGTCTGGGCAGAGGGGGAGAGGTCTGGGCAGGTGAGTTGTATTGCTCCGGTGTGTATATTTGTGTTAGTGTTTCTTGGGGTTTGGTTTGAGATGGTAGTAGTTTACTGGTCAAGGGAATAGTCCGCGATATGATATATATTATATTGATATGGGCGGAAAGACAGAACATGAAACATAAAACAGGATAAGAGATAAGGCACACAGGAGGGAGAGAGGAGATAAAGAAAAGAGAAAAGTCCATTAAGTCCCATGATACTTGTCTTCTCCTCCCCTCGCCAAGGATACTACTACGAAGTGTCTTCCTCCTTATGCATATCTGCAAGTTAGAGCTGGGCGGGCGAGCGGGCCAAGACTTGATTTCACATCCTTGATAATTAGAGGAGACACTCGGCAGGAAATAAGACGACAGGGGTATCTATATGCATAAGCACGCACACGCACACGAAACAACACAGTCCAGCCCAGTCGAGTCTAGTCCAGTCCAATCTAATTGAGCCCAAGAAAGTCTACGAGAACATCGACACGCAGAATCCTGTTCCTAATCTCCCATGAACATGAAGTCTTATCAGCAGGTGCACAACGCGGACATATCATTGGCAGGGAGCCTGCAGAAGGGGCCTTGGTCTTTCCAGGTGGCGTTCTGGTCAGGTCTTGCGCAAGGGATACGGATTGGGGGCTTGGCTGTAGAATGTGGGACAGACAGGCCTCCTCAGGAGACTGGACTTTGGGAATACGCAATCTGCAGTCAAGTAGGTGTCTATTCATGTATACGTATGCATGCACGGAGTACGTGGCAGTATTAATATCATGTGCGGTAGAAGTACAGTATGGACGCCCAGACCACCTATCACCCCCCAAGAGTAAGATGATCGACGTAGTCTGGTTCCATACCCAAGTACCTAATTTATCCGTGATATTACTCAGGACGAATGACGTGGGGGCCGTTTAGGAAATAAAATCCCCGTTTGTTGCCTAAACTGTTGGTGAGACGTATGTATGAAGAACCGGGGGGAGCATGTTGGTCTGAGATAAGTTTGATAAGCCGGGAGCCGGGAGGCGGGGACAAGAGTCTTATGGTTGGTTCGTTAGGGATTCGGTTTGAGACTGCGTCGGCTCTTATTTTATGCTTTCTTTTCATGTTTATTTTTGGGGGCGCTCTTTGGATTTGAACGGGTGGGAGGGCGAAGCAGGCAGTTCGGATTAGAATACCGTTTGATGAGATGGAAATGAGACGACGGGGATCTGATTACTCCTTGAGGAACTGAAAATCAAGCGACGGATTCGGTAAGAAAAGGTCGATCCATCGGGAGGGATCCCGATGGTTTTGGCGGTGATATCATATCCTTCGGTGTATTGATGTGGACTAGACTACCTACAGTCTCATCTAGTTGGCTGGAAAATCCAATGCAATCTGCAGAGGACGGATGGATGCTACCCAAGACATTGACAAGACACCGAACTGATCCTTCCCCGTCTACGTAGGAACCAGATCGGCAATCACATATCTTCAGTCTACACTCTACGCTCCCCTCCTCCCTCCAGGGGTTCTTGGCGGTCGGACCGAGGGCGATCTGCTGGTCTATTGTTGCTTGGCAGTGGAACGTAAGCTGTATTTATCAGATGGCACAAGACTTGGCGGATATCAACTCGTCTGCTTGGCAAACATTCATGCCCCCTTTTCTCCGGGGACCAACTGTACAGCGTGGGATGGTATCATGGACATGGTAAGATGACAGGATAGATGTGAAAGCTAAAAGACAAAGAAAGAAAGAAGACTTGACACTGCACCCTCCCCTTTGTTGTCCGTCCCAAAAAGAAGAAAAAGGAAAGATGAACAAAAAAGAAAGAACGTCAGGTCAGCATGGCCGGTACACCGAGGCTGACGTGATCGTGTCCAGCGCGATTCATGCAGTGAGAATGCTTGATTTGCTCATGATTCGTAGCTAGTTTCTGGCGTTGCTGGCATCGTGACCCAGGTACAAGAAGCCGCTGGGCAGAGGCGAGACGGCTCCCAGCGGGGAATCGGTTGAAGCGGTCGAGGATTGACTGCTGGAGCGCTCACGGGTCGAAGAAGCCCGGCTTGCAATTTCAGGCTGGTCGGCAGCGGCGACAGAGAGAGGGCCGGATTGGATAGGGGCCAAAACGAGGAACTTGTGAGTGGGAGTGTTGGAGAACATTCTGGCAGAGGTTTTAGATGAAAAACACGGTAGCTTGGAAAAGGCTTGAGGGGCAGGACTTTGAGAGTCTGAAGATTTTGTTTTTCTCAAAAGGCAGAAAGATGGATGAAGGATGATGAAGAGCAAGCCGTCTCGGTTGGATTCGGCTACCTATTTATACTTGTGAGGGTACTGGCCAAGCAGGGTCTCTGCGAGAAGAGGGGCAACGAGGTTTGTGGGTGAATCCGGGACAAATGTCGATCGACTATTGCCAGCCCATATGCAGAGTACAAAGACCAAGAGGGAGAGACAAAGGTCCTCAGCTCCAAGCGACCAATTCTTCCTGTCCGATGGTGGATCGGACACGCTGAATTTCGTAATTCACATGTTTCACGCCTGCTTATCAGAGAAGGCGGGGCCCCGAAGGACGTCATTATTGGAAGATCTCCCCCTTCGTGTGCATCTCTTGGCTCCAGCACATCTTTTTACCCCGGGCTCATTGGATAGATCATCCTTCTGAGGGAACATCCAGGAAAAGCGCCAAGCGGGAGTTATCGATTGGTTGCGCAAGCCGAAATGTTGTCCCTCGTACAAGCTAAGCTGGGCCGACGCGACCCGAAAATTCAGCCTCGGATGATCAGCAACCAGGGAGGAAAGCCAAGAAACGTGCCCTGACTATTGATTGGGATTGAACCATCATCCATTCGAAAGGTTTCCATAGTCCGGAGGATGTCGTTCTCCCCCACAAAGTGCCACCAAGTGGAAATGTGGAATGAGTGGGGGGAAAGGGGATTGATTGCCTTCTTACTCGAACTGCGTCAGGATTCACCAAGGGCATTCCTTTGGCCAGCCACATGACCTCGACGAACTATTTCCAATTTGCTTGGCAAGCATAGCTCATGTTCATCCCACCACTCCTTTTGGCAATCGGTGAGACTTTCTAGAATCTGTAGGTAAGCGCCTGTTGAATCCTGAAAAGACAAACGGGCTGGGGAGGTTCGTTGGATTTCAACGGGCGCGAAGCTGAAGCTGGGACCATCGCATTTTAATGATCCTGCGGGAATGCATCGAACGGGGGTGATTATCCGGGGCAGCGAGATATATATAAACCGCAGACGCCAATCAGGCGCAAATGACGATGAGGCAATGCCATTTGAGTTCTGGTAAGGCAGAATGAAGAGGAGAAAAGAGAGCCAAAACGGACCCCAAAATCGACGGCCAAAAAAAGAAACGGCCGCAGCACTGGCCAGGTCACGTGTTCCAGAGCCTCTTCCGCATCAACAATCAAGTCGTTTCTCTCTCAATCACCTTCTTTCCCAGCTCTCTTTCCCCTCCCCAGCCCTAGAAGCTTGCGGTTTTCGTGACCCGCTCGGCTTGCTTCACAGAGCCAACGGCGGCTAGAAGAAGGCCGTGCCATCACGCTGCGACCTGTCAATTGTCGCCGTCTTAGCGCCCCCATTCTCCGCGCCGTATCGCTCGACCATTCGGCTTGTGGCGCGGATGCTCAGCGGCTGAAATGAGAACGGGGCGTACTGGCAGCCAGAGAAGATTGCTTCCCTCGCAGTACTATAGCGCCGCAAGTGCTGTGCCGACACCTTAAATCCATTGTCACCTTTAGGTGAGCTTGAGGGCCCGAGGGCCGAGCTGCTGGTGAAAAACGACGCAAGAACGATAGGCGGAGAATGCTTTGCACTGCCGGACACTAAGTTAGCTGACTATACTATAGAGAAACTCTGTGCCATTATCACACCAACGGGGCTTGTCTTTTTGCACTCACGATCAATGCTATCACTTAGCTCGGGCCCCAATTGCTTGCCGCTCTTCGAACGGTCTTGTCTCCGAGAGTAAAAAAAAGAGGAAGGCACAAAGAAAAAAAAAAAAAAAGTAAACTAATAGTCACATCAAATAGAAAACAAAAATCGCTCATGACTTCATGACTTGCAGATGTCACCAACTGCGTTTAACATGTTGACCTCCATACATTGGTCGGTTTTCCAAGACAGCGAAACCAAGACTGATGTGATGGCAGTGTAGCTCTTGCAGATTCAATCTCTTTCTTTCCAATCTACTGGAGGCCCCCAAAGGCATCGCCTTGAGGCCCTCCATTATGCCTTGGCTGAATCCGCAGGAGGTTGCTTGATCGGTTGATGTTGATGTGGGACAGAAATGCCCAGAAGCTGCGGCGCCTCTGACTGGAGCAGCAGAGTGGCCTATGAGCCAGACCTCCACCACGAAATTTCCCGCACTGCGCAACCAGGTACGCGAACATCGGAGCCGAAAGGGCATGGCCTCCGGGAGTACCATGCTGATACCGGGACGATCACGTTGGCCTGCGTTTTTCCCAGACATCATCCTTGTTCTCCCCTCCTCTGTCGAGGGCCAAAACGAGCACATGATAAGGGGATGCCTGACAGGCATCTCATCTTTTGATGTAAGGACCGGACAGGTGAATTCTTTTGCTTGCGTGACATTCGTCAGATGCACCGTCTGGAACAGTGTATGGTTGCGACATGACCCCGAAGGGGGTGTGAACACTGTTGGTCGGGTACGAGAATTGATTTGATAGCGCAGTCGTTGGCTTTTTTCACCTGCATATGTGACAAGCCCTCTCCATCCAGACGACTGCCGTATTACCTTGAAGATGATGTCAGGTTATTTTCCCATGATGCATCTGCGGAACTCTAATGAAAGCTCGGGGCAGGGGGTTGCCATCGGACCCTGCCTATGACCTGGATTACCGCGACACCCCATTAACCTGCCTTAGGGGGGAAAAGGAAATCAAGAACCTGACCCCCCTCCAGACAAAAACGCCACTGTCGCAGGTGATCCGCATAACCGCAATACTGTCCCCCTGCTGTTGGGGATATCTGGTGCAGTAGTTCTCGGGAGGCCGCGAGCTTCGATTTGCTGTTTGAATCATCCGTTGGGAGACATTCATTTGAACGTGATGTAGATCGAGTCACCAACTACTACGGCGCAATCTTATACAACCTTTTGGGAAGGAGGACGAGGGAAAAAGATCAACTTGCATGTGTAGTTCTATTATTACCCTGACTCATCTTTCTACAATTTCTCTTGGTTTCGTACGCAATCTTTTTTATTTTTTTTTCTTTCCCTTTAATTTCCCATTATTACATTTTTGGGGGCCTCCTGGATAATGATTTTCATTTTTTATTTTTTTAATAATTGCTGGTGTAGCTGGGTATTATTGCGGCACAGTCGACCGCAGTCATTCTCTATCATTTCGGATTGAAGCCAGGGCCGGGAGATTCTTATTTAAAGGCTTCTTTGACCCGACCAAAACTCAGAACATCATCACAACAGTTTCCTCTCCAGTTCACTCTTCAAGGGAAAAAGCGTCTTTGATCCCGAAGCCTTCTCCATCGATTGACACTACCCCAAGAAAAAAATCGTCCGTTGGACCCCAAGCCGTTCTCCTACTACTTTTACTTTAAAACCATATCGCACCACTTCTTTCACACCTTTCGAACTTCCACAAAGGAACAATTCTCAAAATGTGCTCTCAATACTTCTACAAGTACGACTGTGGCTGCACTCACCCCGAGGGCGATGTCGTCTACTGTGCAAAGAGAGGCACTTCTTGCACCGGTGTGAGACAGCAGGTCCGCCGACGTGAGGGTTACAACTGCCCTGCCCATGGAGGTTAGATAGTACAAGAGCGAGGTGAGTAGCGCGCATGGACCAACTCTTGGAGATCATCTCCCAGAGCCGAGCATTTTTTAGAGTCAAGTTTTTCCCCCTTCGGTGGCTGACTGAGCGCCTATAGGAATATGGAGGGAGACATGAGAGAAAAAATGACCTCAAGGCTGTGAGAGCTTCGATCGATCGCCGGCCCTTCGATATGCGCTGTTCTTCTTTTCCACCGAGTTCGCAGCTCTCGTGAAATCTGGTCCTCTCTGTCTCTTGTCTCTTCCATCGACAACCCGCAACATCTCGAGCTCTGTGTATTTCTTGACCGCTTCTATGTATTTTCAAGAGACATTTTTCGGCGACGACTACATTTGATTTGCAAAGAGAAAACGAAAGAAAAATTCACCCAAAAAAATCTGCCTTTATCTTTGTTATTGCTTGGGCCTGTTACCACTGATCAACGTTTCTATAACTACCCCCTACAGCATTATGCATATATGTCTTATGTTTTGTTCTTGAGTTTTATTTTGCTTTGAGTTCTGATTGTTCTTGGATTCCTGCTCTGCTCTGTTACTTTCGCTTCTTTTCGCTCTCTCGGGTTAAAGGAACTTGTTTCCAACTGCCCACATGGAGCTATTCTCTTCTCCAGCGAGCCGCTGACTTTTCTCTTTTTCTTTCTGAACCCTTTTACTGTTTTTGCTCGCGTGCATGCTAGTCAAGATTCAAGATGCACTGCTTGTCGAGACGTCAGTCAGTCAGTCAGTGGTTGGTTTTGATGTCGCAGGATAGTTTTAGTTTAATGTTACGTTCCTTCGTGCTTTCATTCATTCCTATTGAGACTCCTATTGTAGATTCTTCTCTGGATCAGACAATCCTTCCTATTCTCGGTGGTACAGTAGCATTGCGCCTTGAACCCGTTGAAGCTACGCATGCATGGGCCAACTATCGAAAAGTAAGATTGCACTACGGCAACACTAGAAGATGAAGAACATCACACTACGGTATAGAGTTAGATTAAATTTTAAATTGAAACGAGGGATTTGTATTTCCAGTCTTTGACGCTCTGAAAAGTGAAAACTAAGTGTTCCTGTTCCGAGACGCGTCGGGGTGGCCGATGGAGACAGTTTCGGGAAGAACCAATATTGCCTCTTATCTTTTGGGAAGGCGGGAGAGACCAGTTCCAGGGAAACCATCTTCCTATGATTTCATTGTGATTGTAATTCCCCTGTGGCACATGTGGCAAAGGAGGTATGCCTTAAGTCCTTTACTCCCTTCGAGGAGGTTGATCTACAAAGATTAATTTGGCCGGCACAGCGGTGCATAGAAAACCAGGCCATCGGTGCCCAATTCATTTTTCAACCCCTGTGATC